AGAACCACAATGAAGTGGCGAAACCTTGATGAACAACCATCAAGCACCATCAACACCACCAGCACCAACACCACCGTTGGAAGCCATCCTCCTTCGCTCCAAGATCCCCTTTCTCATCAAATCATGCCACTCCAAGATTAGCTCATCCATCTCATTACAGTTCATGGTCATGATTTTGTTCTCCTCGGCAATGAGCTTGGCAAGAGCCTTGGTTTCCTCGGCTTGGGCTCTTTTCTCCTCAATTGCGGCCTTGCGCAACCTATCCGCCTCTTCCACGGCTGCCTTGCGCAACTTCTCCTCCTTGATTAGGTTCCACTTCTCCTCTTTTTTTTCGATAAAGGGCTTTTCATTGAATTGAACTATCGAGTTGATACAACCGCATCAAAGATAACCCGGCCTCTGCATATCTAGATGCACACAGCCAAAGTACCAGATCCCAAAAAACAAAACAAAAAGGCGGAACGCCAGCAGTAGTGAAAAAAAGATAAAAGAGGCCTAAGGTGATGCCGGGCCTATCCGAAGGTCACACCGCCATCCATGGGGGTAGAAAATGTCCCTGGCCGAGCACTCCAACCGGGTAGAAGCCATCATAAATAAGTCTCTGTCCTCCGGCCTCTGCAGGATAGACCACATACGGAGCCATCGCGAGCATATATGAATTACCTGCATAGGAGATGAAACACTTTTATGATTAAAAACAATATCATTCCTGGTTAGCCACAACGCCCAACATAAGGCAGCCGCCCCCGCAAGAATGTGCTTAGAAAATTGTTTATCTATTCCCCTCAGCCAATTCCCGAACATATTCCGTGCGCTGCGTGGAGGGTATAGATTCGAAGCAATTTGGACTATTGCCCATACCGATCTAGCGAATTTGCAATCAAAAAATAGGTGTTTAATGGATTCATTATGATTGCAAAAAACACATTTCTTGCTGCCTTGCCAGTTTCGTCGAGCTAAATTATCCCTAGTTAAGATAACTCCTTTGTTGAGAAACCAAAGGAAAATCTTCACTCTTAGAGGAATCTTAAGCTTCCACAATTTTCTATTATCAGATGGAACCTCGTTATGAACCAGTGCATCGTACATGGATTTAACCGAAAATCTTCCGTTCAGATGCAGGTCTCCTCTTTCTCTTGAGACCTCTTCATTGCCAACTCTTTTTTTGCTTCTATAGTCATGGTAACCATCAACCCATTTGAGTGCACCATATGATCTATCTTGACTCTCAAACTTGATGCGTCGGACTCCTTCTTCATATTCTCCTTGGCTTTCTTGTTGCCATCCGGCCTACCCTTGTTTCTCCCTCCTTCATCATCTTCATCATCATCCAACAAGGTGAAGGTACCTCTCTTCAGTGGTGCTTCTTTATCCCTCACCTTCCATCTGTCGCTTTTCTTAAGCAATGCTCAAAATGCTCGAATGCAAAGGGCTTGCCCCTGGATGCCGGCATGTCCCTATACCTCGCGGCTGCAATTTTATCTTACAACCAAAGCAACTATGTCAAAGCACTATCGTTTGCAAACATCGTCACCAATATGATTAAGGAAAAAGCACTCACCCAATCGGCTTCATTAGTTCCACCTGGAGGTGCATTGTACACTTGCTCCAAGCATCCACACCACCGGCTAACCGCCACCTTGATCACATCCCAACGACCTTAGAGTGATCTATAGATGCGTGGTGTCGGCTCAACATTCCTTCGCATCAACCGGAAGAACTTGTCTTCTATCCTTTGCCAATACCTCTTCCCGGTTTGGACGGTGCCGTGGATGGAATTGAGGGACATGGCCTCCCAAGCTCGGATCAGCACCTCATCCTCTATTTGGGTATAGCTCTTCGACCTTTTGCTATATGTTGCCGTTTGCGATGCCTCGAAGACCTCCCCTTCAATCTCTTGCAACTCATCCTCTTCATCGCCGCCACCGTGTACCCCGCCGTCAATCTCGTCGTATCCATAGTCTCCAAGGCGTGCATTCTCAATGTTCACCGCGTTTTCCTCGAGGAGGGCCACATAGTCGGAGCTACAAAGAGCCGCATAGTCCCCAAATTATTGAGCTAAAACGCGAACGGCGGCAATCAAAACCGGTGGGGGCGGACATACCTTGCGGGCATTTCATCGAACACCAGTGGGGCGGCAGCAGAGGGCGGGCGTAGAACTCGCAGGGGCCTTCTTGGCTGCAGGCGCCCGCTTGCGTTTTGCCACGACGTTCCTCACAGGCTGCGCCGGCTCGGTATCACCAATGTTACCGGCGACGGTAGGGCGAGCGGCAGCGCGAGCTGTAGTGCGAGCGCCCCTCTTGGGGGTGGCTACGGTGGCGGCGGGAGCGGGCGCGCCTCCCTGCACGATGACGTTCCCTAGCCGCTTGCGAGGAACAACGCCGGAGGAAGCTTCGGACGCGCCCACGACATCGCCGGTGGGGAGATCCACCACGGCGCGGCCCGCCGTTGATTTGGCTAACCCTACTTCCACAGTGACGAGCATGGGGTCGGGGGTGTCCATGGCCTCGCTGGAGGCCGCGGTGAGGTCGGCCGGAGCGGGGAGGTGAAGATTTGTGCCAGCAGGGGAGGGGGAAAGCCGGAACTGCCGCGGTGAAATGTCCCTCCCGCCAAATCGATCTAGGGATAGAGGGCGCCGCCGGGTCGACCGTGCAAACGCCTTTTTGACAATTCCGGACGGGAAAATTGCCACGCCCCTCAAAAGTTTTTGCAGGCCGGTCACTTTTACGGTATCTGGTCTCGCAGCGTTTTTTCGGCCCGAAACGGCAAAACGGCGGTTATTTTACAGTTTTTGCGGTGTCTGCTAGAAATGCTCTAAGATAGAGGAGAACAGTACGAGCCGCTTTGCCCTGCTTTTGCGACAATGATTGTGGCAAGAAGTACAGCTGTATTGTAGTTGACTTTGGACACAAGATGACAAGAAACACAGTTTCTTTCAGATTGAGCAGCAAGGGCCCTTTGTTTAGAATTGATGTAAACAGCTGTGGAGAGAGAATAGTGATGGTGTGTAAGCAATTCGTATAATATATCGTTGGGTGCAAGGGGGCACGTTATATTTTGATTACTCGGGATGGCTGTAAGCCAGCTAAATGGGCCTGCGTTGACGATGCTATTTCTACATTTAGAAATAATTTCAGTTTATATATAGTATAGTACAGTGGTGTAGCAAGGATTGGAGGGGCAAAAATGTTAGGTCAAAAAAACTACCAAAGAAAAGCTGTTGTAATGGCATAGAAAGCTCGGTTTTAGGAGCTTATTAGGTTTGAGATTTGCATTTTTTATTTGCTTCAGTGTTGAGATTATTAATAGATAAAATATCTTCATCTTTAGACCTAAAATGTGAAATCAGTGGCAAACAAAACAAAACATTACCAGGTTGGCTAGTCGAGGAGAGCTGCAGAAGAGCTGATGAGCAATCAGGACCAGGAGTTCTCCGACCAGCGGCAATCAAGATCCGACATTTGGTGGTCTCTTCTGCAGTTTTCTCTTCAATAGCAGGAATTTATGCAGTTGGCCGATTTGATGGTCTCCTGCTTCCATACAACCCCGACAACGAGGAGTAATCAGCAGCAGGAGTGCTTCTCCGACCAGCAGAAATCGGGCGGCGCCAGGTCGCCGGCCGACGGTCCCGCGATGCGGAGGACTGGAACCTCTGGAGACTGGAGGAGGCGGCGACCTGGGCCGGGGGCGGCGGCGCGCCTACCGCAACGGCCAAGCGATGCATCGAGCGAGCAGAGGGGGGCAGCGAGCGACGGGACACAGTCCCAAGGTCCTCCCTCTCATGTTCTCCTGGGCGAGCGAGTTGGGCTGACCAAAACTTGCGCTACATCCCGGGCCAATATTTTTCCACGTAGAAGATAGGCCAGAGTTTTCGTTGCAATCCGGGCCATGGCCCTGGTTGGCGGGGACCCAGCTCAGCCCCTAGTCTAGCTATAAGTACCATAAAAAACAAGTACCCTCCTTAGATAATTACACATATTTGCTTGAAATTCTGTCCCAACTTTCTTTGGTGACGAGCACGACCACGATGTCAATCCTTTGCAACAGACCTAGCGTGTGTTTGTTGGTTGCTCGTGAAGGGTTCATATAAGCTATGGGGAGTCAGTTTCAGCATGTTGCCTCGCCAATGGGCGATGTTGCACTCGCACCGTGCTTCAAACTGCCGAAAACCTGGCCGGAGAGGAACACTCAAATCAACCATTTTCACAAACCCTCCTTTTCCGGCCGAAAAGCAAACATGCAGCCCACTCCTTGGCTCGCCGGCCGGATACATAACCCTGCATTGGGTGTGTTCCGCTCACATTTCTTAATGACATTCATCTAATATACACAGCGGTGTTTTGATTTGATATGAGCTATACGTGAAAAAGATGCACATCGCTTGGTCGGTTTTGAGATTCGTTCGACTCTAACCCTCAATTTCATAAACTTCGTTATATTCATCACGCATGGGCGATTTTTCAAATTCCCTTTGAGGAGTAATTCCATTTTTCTGTTTTGTAAAACTTTTGTGTTGTAATTCTCCCGATTCAACAGCCATAGATGAACAGATCTACGTTTGGGATGACCACACTGTCGTGGACAGGAAACCATCTCAGGTTATGAGCTGAAATTGTGTGGAGGCATGAGAACCAGAAGTAGACCAGAACCAGCATCTGTAATTATAACTCACTGGACACAAACGGATAAACACAATGTTCATCATCCCAAAATATTACAAACCAAAGAAATCCAGTGGGTCATCATCATTCCACAATATTACAAGCAAACCATAGGAAGCATATAAATCCAGCAGCGGTTGTCGGTGCACATTATTACGTACCATAGAAAAAAAATGCATGGTCTCTCTCACCGTTCCACAATATTACAAGCAAACTGCAAACCATAGGAAGCAAACAAATCCAGTGTTCATCGGTTGCACATTATTACAAACCATTGGAAACAAATAAATGCCGCATTCATTGGTCAACTGCCAGGATATCATAAGGATGGCGGGTCTTCTAGTCCAGCTCCTGCCATTTGGCTAATGTGGATCCTGATATTTTCATATGTTAGAAAATGTATTGAAAACCTTAAGCAACAAACAGTTAGGTTACTAACTGAAAAAAAATGAGGCAACAAAGTGATTTATAGATGCATATACCTAACAATGGGCTTGGTTCAATGATCTTTTCCTTAACATGCTCAAGCTTTTTCCAGTCAGAACTATCTTTCCGCTCGCACGACTCCATGAACTGTTGATCGAGTGCCAGCAGTTCAAACTTCTTAAGAGAAGCCGGAAGATCTGGGAGCGATGTGATACCTTTGCAATTTTGAATCTTCAGGCTCTCGAGAAGCTTGAGGTCCTTCAAATTGGCTGGCAAGCGGTCCCAGCCCATGCAGTTCGAAATAGTGAACTTACGAAGCTTAGTGAAAACCTGAAAAATTTCGGGAGCAGGTTTGCACATAGGGCAGAAGCTGAGCTCAAGCTTTTGTAGAAACATTGGACCGTCTTTCTGTTTATCCACCATCCAACTTGGGTACCTCTGACTTCTGTAGCACGAAATCTCCAGACTTTTAAGATCCTTGGGTGGGCAAAGAGCCTCAAGTACCTCTTCTTGAACATTTGGGTCGACAGGTTTATCACTACGCCTATACTGTATTCTAGAATCCTTCCAGCGCAGTTTCAGTCCAGTCAGATGTATCTTATCAGCTAGCTTTCCTTCCTCGGCTCTCACCTTGCCTTCAACATTTTCAAGATTTTCGATGGCTAGACTGCCTCTCAGCTTGTTCAGGTCTTTCAGCTGGTCTAACCCATACCCCTGCCCCTTGCCTACATGGAATTCTTGTAATGTCTGCAGTGATGTTAACCTGCCTATGTTCCGAAACATTACTGCCAGCAGATGGCCGAGGATATGCCGCAAATTGGTGAGGTTGCTAATAATCATGCCAGGTGAAACTTTTACGACACACACTTCACCAAACTCAAGCACCTGCAGATGGTAAAGTTGCTGTACTGTTTCGGGTACAGTGAGCTTTGCTTCAAAGATCCCCAGACCAAGATAGCGTAGATACTTTAATTGACCAACAGTTTCTGGGATGTCCAACACAAGTTCAGGATCCTGGCTTCGAACCAACAATACCCGCAATTTCTGCAGCTTCTTGAATATGTTCTCAAACAATATCTTGAAGAAGTCTGTTTCAACTTCTGCACTCCTCTCTCCATCATCAATAATAAGAGTGCGTAGGTTTTCCAGTTCATAAATCTCCTGGGTAACCATTGCTGTACCGGAGACATAAAGGTGGCGAACATCACGGTGAACTTTATGTGAGGGATTCTCCTTTCTGAAGCAGTCGCGCCCCGCCACATCTACGGCTATTCCATGCATAAGATCATGGACAACATACCAATCACCCACTCCTGGTTGCAGAAATGAGGCTGCCACTAACTCATGAAAGTAATCCCGACCAACAACATCCATGTCCTCGTCTGCATCAGTCTGTATGAACCCCTCAGCCACCCACAGTTTAACGAGATCATCACGGCGCAGAGGATGTCTTCTGGGAAAGATACTGCAGTAAGCAAAGCACCGCCTGACCTTCTCATCAAGATGTTGATAACTCAACCATAGGGGCCCCCTCGTCTCCTTGAGAAGATCCATTTTTTCAAGATCTCGCCAAAACTCAATTTCTTTTCTCTTCCTTAGTGTTCCCCCCACTGTACTCGCTGCTAGAGGTGATCCGTTCAGCTTCTTCACAATATCAGCTCCAATGGATCTGAGTTGGTCTTCATCTGCATTCTTTGCTTCTGCAGGTCCAAGTGCATAATGCATGAGTATATCCAACAAGACTTCGTCATCCAGGGTACTTATGGCAGAAGCAGTATAAGTCACATCAGGGCCTAGATCTGAAAATGCATTGACATTTTGACTTGTCGCTAGGATCTTGCTCCCCCTCTTTCCACCCTCAAATGGAGAAAGTAGCCTCGGTAGCTGCTTCGTGTCGGCATCCTTATTGCACCAGATGTCATCTAGTACCAAGAGGAATCGCTTGTCTTTTATTTTATCCGCCAACTCTTTTTCTAGTATCTCTAAGTTTTTGTATTCGGTGCATGTGCCCCCTGAAGCTAACTCAAACATCTGCATGAAAATGTCTCTCACACTATAGTTGCGAGTAACATGAATCCACATAACAAGTTCAAAATGTTCAATGCCTTTCTCATACTTGCAAACATGTTGTGCCAGGATTGTCTTCCCAGATCCTGAAATTCCATGAAGCCCAATCACAGAGAAACAGTGATTATCATGAACATTTGTGACACGAAGACTAGCTGTTATCCTTTTAAGATCCTCATCTCGGCCAGTCACCTTTACTGTTGAAGTTGAAGTAGTTGGTGTGCGAATATTTCTGGTTGTAATAGTTTCATCTTTGCTGGATGGCTCAGCTAGTTCAAGCATACCCTGTGCTTTTCTGATGAGTTCTTCTATCTCCAATATATTGTCCGTCAAACGTTTCCTTAAAGGTCCAGGGACAGTGAGACTCGGTTCAGCCCAAATATTCTACAAAAGAGATCAACATTTTGACATTCAAATGCGAAGGATTCACCCACAAGTGAAAAACCATACTTCATTAATAGAGTCTACAACGGCCATGACGTGTGTCCCGACAACTCATTTGGCTAACTACACATTAGACTCTAAAAAAGACATACTCACTCCGTCTCATATTAATTGTCGAAAAAAGAATAAAAATGAATGTATCTAACATTAAAATATGTCTAAATACATCTTTATTTATTTATTTTTGCAACACCTAATATGACACAACCGAAGTTTCTGTTTTTTCACTACTATTTATAAAGTTGTAAAGTATTATTTATACATATACATGAACGAGTGCATAATTAATCTACCCACAGAAAAATATTGCATATTTAGTCAACAGATCTAACTAATTACAGTACAAAATATGAACTATGCCAAACTTTCAATATTTCTTAATATAATATTTTCATCGAACTCCTCGTGTGCGTGGAATCTCGGTGAGTGTTTAAGTTACAAAAATATTTACTCCCTCTGTTCCTAAATATTTGTCTTTCTAAAGATTTCAATAAGTGACTACATACGGAATAAAATGAGTGAATCTACACTATAAAATATGTCTATATACATCCGTATGTAGTCACTTGTTCAAATCTCTAGAAAGACATATATTTAGGAACGGAGGGAGTATTTCTTAATATAATACTCCCTCCGTTCCTAAATATAAGTCTTTGTAGAGATTTTACTATGAACTAGATACGGATGTATATAGATGCATTTTAAGTATGGATTCATGCATTATGCTCCGTATGTAGTCCATCTAATGGAATCTCTACAAAGACTTACATTTAGGAACGGAGAGAGTATTTTTTTTCATCCAACTTAGCTAAGTGAGGACGCCGGGTGCTTTGGAGTAGTGGGTTGCCAGGAACACCAACGACATGCCAGTGGAAGGCCCACCTCGCCTTGACATGGCAGCAGCACGCTTGTGAACCGCGAGAACGTATCTGGTGAAACGAGCAAACTGATGCACCAGATGCTCCAGCGATACATGGGCCGTTGGATTCAAGAGAGAGTGACATGATTCAGTGCGATGGCGGGACTGTTGGCACATTTGCATAACAGTCCTTGTAATGTAGCTAAATGCAGCGATTTGACCTCCCCGTACCCAGATCGTATTCTTCCCTTTGTACCAGTGCAGCCGCCCGATGCTAGGGTTAAGGTCCAGCGTGCTGAAGCACCGATCTCACCTCTTCTGTACCCTCCACCAGGCAAATTAGGTTAGTAAATTTCGCTCGATCTGTCTCAATCATGTACCAATGGAGCGCCGTCTCACTAAAATCCAGATGTGTGATCTGGTTTGTTGAAAGCAGTCCCTCAATTTCGTCTTTGGCAGCAGCGCCTCGTTGTGAGGGCATACTCAATCTACCACTGACGCCGCCGCCGGCACTATCCAACTGCAGCAGCTCGAGGATCTAGATCTAGGCCTGTTTGCTTCTTCTTGAAAGGCATGTTTTTGTTGATTAAAGATTTGGAATAATGCGGTGCGAGCACCAAATTTGGGTAGGAGATAAGAGTATATTTCTATGATCTTCATGCCAATTACAAGGGATGCACTCCCTGTTTTGATCTTTTATCGGTAAACATAATTAAACAGAACCTGCACTTACAATGTCCAACTGAACTTCGTGAAAGCATTAACAAGTTCATCTTCCTGATTTTATTGACGAAACCATTTTTTTCAGTCTCCTATATGCAATGTAGTAAACCATGACTTGCAGAATGACTATGAAAAAGGGTTTCCCCCCGCTTTAGATTATAAAGCAACCAACATCCACAACCAAGCCATCGATACAAACACACACCACACACACCCAAGACGAGATACAAGGATGCCGAGCACCGACACACAACCTCAATGACTACCACGCACCCACAGGATGACCGATCGACCGAGAAGAGGTGTGACGGACCACGCCAGACCGAGGACACCAAGACGATGCCTCCAAGAAGGGTACGACCACGGAATGTCGCCACCGTCCGATCCGAAGATCAAGCTTTCACCCGGAGCTAGATGGAAGGAGAGGGAGCACCACGACGGAGCCTACAGGGAGGAACACGACGTCCGCGCACGCCTTCACCATCGGCCAGTGCACGGACTTGGCAAGTGATGTACTCCGGTGCTTCAACCCTTTCGTCGCCTCCCCGGTCCGACAACAACCTGCAGCTATGCCACCCGAGCGACCATAGATGCCCGCCCGCATCCGAGCCGCGCAGTCTGCTCACGACCACCGCGTCTCCCACCGCCAGGACTGCCGCCCTGCCACCAGGCCACCGCGAAAGCTCCCAAAGGACATGACTTTGGCCAAATCCACGCCCCCAACCGCCTCCTGGAATCGCCGACGGGCACTGCCTCGAGACGAACCGCGACATGACGCCGCCCGGTGGAAGG